TTGTCTGGTTTTGTTGGTTTTCTGGGCCTGGAGCTGAAATATAACTGAGACCTAGATGTTATCTCTAGAAAAAAAATGTCATGGGGTCCAAACTACGTGACAGGCAATATGCTACAGGAGGAAAGGTCACCCTGGGGACAAGATTCCACCCTATAATTGTCCTTGGCTAGACACCCAGGACTTTTTGCCTTGGTGATCTTCTGTACCTGGCCCATCATCCTTACTCTGCTCACATCCATCTTTATACCACAGTTACTTTAGATTTCTGAGTTTGTAAGACCCACTATGCAAACCTTGCCTGAACTTGTCAGGTTTAGTATGTTGCCCCTGTTTTTCTGTTTTATTTTTCTTTGTCCACGGTGGTTTGGCCTTAGCAAACCCAGGGACTTAGATGAGACCAGGCTCTCTCCCTCTATTTGTCCTATGATTCTGTGTGTGGATTCATCCAGGTTTACCTGAAGTTTTTTTTTTCCACATAGTCAAAAATATTTCTGCCCTTATTCATGTAAACTCACATTGTATAGCTTTAACTACTTAAGGAAAGACTATTTAACTCTCTTGTTTATGAGTCTAAAATTCCCAGATCAACATTTCATTTTGTTAGATTGATTCAACTTTATCCTTAATAAAATCTACATGTGTAAAAACAATATAATGTTTATATTAACCATGGAAGCTTCTAGGATAAACATGTAAATAAAGAAAAGATCACTACTTAAAAAAGGTGCTATATCCCTGGGCATATAGTTCTAAATATACCCATTATAGTGGTGTTTGTTGAAAACAATAACATAAGATATTCTTAACTAACATTAAAACTACAATGTTTTTCAACCTAAAATGGTTGATTGATACTTGAATTTTTTTTTTATAAATCATCTATTTAAGAATTTTAGATATCTCCCAGGAATTAATATTAAACTCACTGGATTGTCATTTTTAAAATGCATTTGTATCTTTTTTAAAAAAATTAGGACAACACTACAATTTACTCTTTGTATAATTCTCTAATTTTTAGGATTTCTCAAGGATTAATGCCAAAGATCTGCAAAGTCATTTTCACATATAGATTTTTTTAAAAGGACATTTTGGGGTTGATTTCCCTTTGTAATTTGTTAAAAATTAAAACATTATGCCTATTTCTTCTTCCTTTTTGATGCAGTGGAATATATAAAAATTATTAGTCAAACATTTACTAGGTGCCAGAGGTTGTTCTGAGTCTACATGTAAGTTATTCCATTTAATACCTCCCATAAATGATCTGACAAACATACCTACTAATTCAAATGTCACAAATGAAAACTATGAGGCAGAGAAGCTAAACTACTGATCAAGATGTCATAACTAATAAATGCTGAAATCAAGATTTTATTCAGAAGTTTACATTTTAAGTACTATGTATGCTACCTCTTAAGAACCTTCATTTTCCTTTTAACACTTTTTCATAGATATACTTTAAACTTTTAAAAAATTTTTAAATGTACTTTTTATTGTTGATAGTATTACAGATATCTCCCATTTCCCCCCTCCCCATTCCCCCTTCCTCCCAGCACCTACCCAACCACCAGGTCTTCACTACCCTGTTGCCTGTGTCCATGGGCTGTGTATATAAGTTCTTTGGTTTACCTATTCTCATCCCCGCAACCCCACATCAAGGTATGTCAGTCTGTTCCATGCTTCCCTGCTTTGGGTCTATTTTATTGGTCAATTCATTTTGTTCATTAAATTCCACAAATAAGTGAGATCATGTGATATTTGTCTTTTTCAATTTGGCTTATTTCACTTAGCATAATATTTTCCAGGTCCATACATGCTGTACCAAAGGGTAAAAGATCCATCTTTTTTAAAGCTGCATAGTATTCCATAGTGTAAATGTCCCATAGCTTTTCTATCCTTTCATCTACTGATGGTCACTTGGGCTGTTTCTAAATCTTAGCTATTATAAATAATGCTGCATAGGGTGCATATATTCTTTCTGATTGGTTTATATTCCCAGAAGTGGGATTGCTGGGTCAAACAGAAGTTTCTTTGTTAATTTTCTGAGGAAACCCCATACTGTTTTCCATAGTGGCTGCACCAATTTGCATTCCCACCAGCGGTGAACTAGGGTTCTCTTTTCTCCACATCCTCACCAGCACTTGCTCTTTGTTGATTTTTTGATGGTAGCCATTCTGACAGGTGTGAGGTGATACCTCATTGTGATTTAAATTTGCATTTCCTTGATGATTAGTGACTTTGAGCATTTTTTCATGTGTCTCTTGGCCATTTGTATGTCCTCTTTGGAGAAATGCCTATTCAGGTCTTCTGCCAATTTTTCATTGGATTTTTTGTTTTCTTTTTGTTGAGTTGTATGAGTACTTTATATTTTGGATATTAACCCCTTATTAGATGTATCATTGGCAAATATGTTCTCCCATTCAGTGGATTTCCTTTTCGATTTGATGCTGGCTTCGTTTGCTCTGCAGAAGCTTTTTATTTTGATGTAGTCCCATTTGTTTATTTTTTCCTTAGTTTCCTTTGCCCTAGAAGATGTATCACGTAAGATGTCTGAGATTTTACTGCCTATGTTTTCTTCTAAGATTTTTATGGTTTCATGCCTTACATTTAAGTCTTTTATCCACATTGAGTTTATTCTTGTGTTGGTGTAAGGTAGTGGTCTATTTTCATCTTTTTGAATATGTCTGTCTAGTTTTCCCAGCACCATTTGGTAAAGAGTCTGTCTTTACCCATTGTATGTTCTTGCCTCCTCTGTCAAATGTTAATTGACCTTAGTGGTGTGGGTCAATTTCTTGGATATCTGTTCTGATACATTGGTCTATGTTCATGTTCTTGTGCCAATACCAGGCTGTTTCAGTTATAATGGCTTTGTAGTATAGTTTGAAAACCTGTACTATGAACCCCTCTACTTTGTTCTTCTTTCTCAAGATTGCTGCAGCTACATGGGCTCTTTTATGGTTCCATATACATTTTTTGAGTATTTGTCCTAGCTCTTTAAAGTATGCCAATGGTATTTTAATAGGGATTGCATTGAATCTATAGATTGCTTTAGGTAGTATAGACATTTTATTAATGTTAATTCTTTCAATCCATCAACATGGTAGACGCTTCCATTTGTTTGTATCTTTCTCTATTTATTTTTTCAATGTTCTATGGTTTTCCAAGAACAGGTCTTTTACATCCTTGGTTAGTTTATTCCTAGGTATCTTATTTTTTTTGTTGTTGCAATGGGAATGCTTTTTAGTTTCTCTTTCGGAGAGTTCATTATTGGTGTATAAAAATGACGTTAATTTGTAGATGTTGATTTTGTATCCTGCTACTTTGACAAATTAATTTATTAAGTCTAGTAATTTCCTGGTGGAGTCTTTAGGGTTTTCTATGTACAATATCATGTCATCTGTAAATAATTACAGTTTTATTCCCTCCTTTCCAATTTGGATGCCTTTTATCTCTTCTTCTTTTCTGATTGCTGTGACTAGGATTTCCAGTACTATGTTGAATAAGAGTGGGGAAAGTGGGCATTTTTGTCTTATTCTTGTTCTTAAGAGAAATGCTTTTAGTTTTTGCCCAGGGATTATGTTGGCTGTAGGTTTGGCATATACGGCCTTTAATATATTAAGGTAGGATACCTCTATTCCGACTTTACTGTGAGTTTTATCAAAAAAGGGTGCTGTATTTTTTCAAATGTTTTTCTGTATATGTTGATATGATCATGTGGTTTTCATCTTTCAATTAGTTTATGTGATGTATCACATTTATTGTTTTCGAATATTGTACCAGCCTTTTATGATCATATGATTTTTAATATATTGCTGGATCTGATTTGCTAATATTTTTTTGAGAATTTTAGCATCTGTGTTCATCAGGCATATTGGTCTATAATTCTCTTTCTTTGTAGTGTCTTTATCTGGTTTTGGAATTAAGATAATACTGGCTTTCTAAAAAGAGCTTGGAAGTGTTCCTCCCTCTTGAATTTTTTGGAATAGTTTGAGGAGGATATGTGGTAGTTTTTCTTCGACTGTTTGGTAAAATTCACCTGTAAATCCATCTGGTCCAGGATGTTTGTTTGCTGGAAGTTTTTAAATTACTGCTTTAATTTTTATCAGTTGTTATTTTCTAGTCAGGTTTTCTGTTTCTTCCTAATTGAGTTTTGGAAAATTGTATGTTTCTAGGAATCTGTCCATTTTACCCAGGTTGTCCAGTTTTTTTGGCATATAGTTTTTTCATAGTATTTGCTTACAATCCTTTGTATTTCTGTGGTGTCCATTGGTATATCACCTCTTTCATCTCTGATTTTATTTATTTGGGTCCTCTCTCTTTGTTTCTTGATTAGTCTCACGAGGGGTTCATCAATCTTATTTTTATTTTCAAAGAAATAGCTCTTGGATTTACTAATATTTGTACTCTTTTTTAGTCTCTATGTCATATTTCCTCTCTGAACTTTACTATGTCCTTCCTTGTACTTCCTCTGGGCTTTTCTTGCTATTCTCTTTCTAATTCATTTAGTTGAGGGGTTAGATAGTTTATTAGTCTTTTTTCTTGTTTCTTGAGGTAGGCCTCTAGTGCTATGAACTTCCCTCTCAGGATTTTTGCCGTGTCAAATAGGTTTTGGGTGGTTGTGTGTTCATTTTCATTTTTTTTTCCAGGAAGTTTATAATTGCTCATTTGATCTCATTGGTAACCCATTCATTGTTTAATAGCATGCTATGTAGCCTCCATGTATTGGAGTGTTTTTGAGGTGTTTTTTTTTTTATTGTAGTTGATTTCTAACTTCATGCCATTGTGATGTGATGCTTGGTATTATATCAGTCTTCTTGAATTTGTATAGACTTGCTTTGTGCCCTAATATGTGGTCTATCTTTGATAATGTTCCTTGTGCACTTGAAAAGAATGTTCTGTAAATATCGGTTAGTATGCCATCTAATCTAGCATGTCATTTAAGGCCTCAGTTTCCTTGTTAATATATTGTCTGGAAAATCTATCCAGTGCTGTCAGTGATGTACTGCAGTCCCCCACTATGACTGTATTGTTATCAATCTCTCCCTTAAGGTCCATCAAGAGTTTTTTAATGTACTTTGGTGCTTCTATATTTGCTGCATATATATTTACAAGGGTTATATTTTCTTGTTGAATCATTCCCTTTAGTATTATGAAGTGGCCTTCTTTGTCTCTTTTTTATGCCTTTGTTTGAAGTATATTTTGTCTGATATTAGTATTGCTACTCCAGCTTTTTATTCCCTTTCAATTTGCATTGAATATATTTTCTATCCCTTCATTCTCAATCTGTGTGTATCTTTTGTTCTGAGGTGGGTCTCTAGTAGACAACATATATATGGCTCATGTTTTCTTATCCATTCAGTCACCCTATGTCTTTTGACTAGAGCATTTAATCTATTTACATGTATGGTTATTATTGATAAGTATTTGCTTATGCCATTTTTATTTTCTTTATGCCTATGATCCTCTCTCTCTCCATTTATTCTTCTTAAACCAGCCCCTTTAACATTTCTTGCAGTGCTAGTTTGGTAGTAATGTACTACTTTAACAGCTTTTTGTTAGGAAAGCTTTTTATTTCACCTTCAATTTTAAATGATAACCTCACTGGATACAGTAGTCTTGGATTTAGGCCCTTGATTTTCATTACTTTGAGTTCTTCATGCCACACCCTTCTGGCCTGAAGTGTTCTTCTTGAGAAGTCAGTTGACATTATTTTTTTAAATATATATTCTTATTTATTTCAGAGAGGAAGGGAGAGATAGAAACATCAATGATGAGAGAGAATCATTAATTAGCTGCCTCCTGCATGCCCTCTACTGAGGATCGAGCCCACAACCCAGGCATGTGCCCTTGACCAAATTGAACACTGAACCCTTCATTCCACAGGCCGACACTCTATCCACTGAGCCAAACTAGCTAGGGCAGTCAGTTGACATTCTAATGGGAACTCTTTTGTATGTAATTTTCTCTCTTTTTCTTGCTGCTTTTAAGATTCTTTCTTTTTCTTTAATAGTTGCCATTTTAATTATGATGTGTCTAGGTTTGGGTCTCTTTGGGTTCATCTTGTTGGGACTCTCTGTGCCTCCTGGACTTGTGTGGCATTTTCCTTTACCAGGTTGGGGAAGTTTTCTGCCATTATTTCTTTAAACAGGTTCTCTGTTCATTGCTCGACTTCTTCCTCTTCTGGTATTCCTGTAATGCAGATGTTGTTTTGTTTCATGTTGTCCCAGAGCTCCCTTAAGCTATCTTCCTGCTTTTTTTTTCTATTTGCTGCTCTAATTAGGTATTTATTTATACCTTGTCTTCCAATTTGCTGATTCGGTCCTCTGCTTCATCCAATCTACTTTTAATCCCTTCAAGTTTTTTTCATGTCAAATATATTGTTCTTCATTTCTGTCTGATTTTTGTTAATGGCTTCTATTTCCCTTCTCATGCTGTTGTAATTTGTACTAAGTTCCTTAAGCCTCTTTATAACCATTGCTTTGAACTCTATTTCTGATAGGTTGCTTGCCTCTTTCTCATTTAGTTCTTTTTCTGGAGATTCCTTCTTTTCTCTCATTGGGAAATTATTTCCTCATTTTCCTATTTTAGCTATCTCTTTGTATTTGCTTCTGTGTATTAGATAGAACTAATCCCAGTCTTTGTGGGATGGCCTTATGTAGAAGGTATCTGAGGGGTCCAGTGGTATAGTCTCTTTGTTCACCTGAGCTGGATATTCTAGGAATGCACCTTGTGTGCATTGTTTGGGCTCTCTTGTTTAATTGGGACTTGATTTTCAATGTCCATTTGTGGGAGGTATCCTCCATTCAATTTGCTTCCAGTTAGGTTTCACCCCAATATCTTTGTGCCAGCTGTCCAGTGGTCAGGGACTCTTTATCCCAGAGACTGGGTCTACCTTGAGTCTCATACCTTGATTGATCTTGTTCTGGAAAATACTTCCTTCCCCCATGGAGCTGGTCCCTCAAAGTGTCAGCCATAGCCACTTGGGGTCTGTTTGCCAACAGTCTGGGATGGTGTCTGTGGCAGCACCCAAACTGATGTTTCTGACTAATTAGGTCAGGCAAAGACTGAAAGCCTCCAGAGAACCTCCTCTGCCTGCAGACTGATTGGATTCAGTTTGGAGTGTTCTCAAGCAATTGTCCACAGGTTTGGTAAGAGGTTTTCCAATAGGGTGGGACAATTGCCTCTTCCTGGAGGCTAATTGTTATTCTCAGTCTGTTAATGGGCCCCAGAAACTCCACAGGGTGGGGCAGAAGATTTTCCAATAGGGTGGGTCAACTTTATTCTCCTGAGGCTAAAATGGCAGGATAGCACAGGTTTGCCTGAGAAAGATGACCTCTGCAGCATGAGGGAATGACTCAGCATATGAAACCAGGGTATCTGCCTTCTAAGCTCTGTCCTTGGATTCCACAACCCCGGCTTATGTTTATACAGCTCCTTTACACTCTGCCTTCCCTCTGCTAGTGCACAAGGTGAATGGTTGCACAAGGAATTTTGTGCATTGGCCCTTTCAGAGGGTGCCTGCATTCCTAGCCATCTCTTCCTGACAAACAGCAACCCTGCTGATTTTACAGCCAGATGTTATGTGAGCACCTTTTTCAGTTCTGGTGCTCTCTGATAGGGGGCCCAGCTTGGGGATTAGACCCCAGAGTTCTCAGTGGCAACCCCCCATAGCCAAGATATCTCTCCAGTACTTCAGCTGCTGTGTGTGGGAGACTGGCCAGCCCATTCATACCTCTGCCCTTCCTACCAGTTACTATACGGTCTCCACTTTTCATCCTTGGTTATCAGGGTTCTCTCTAGCTAGTCCTCAGTTCATTTTTCAGGGTGGTTCTTCTGTATTTTAGTTGTAATTCTAGTTTGGTCCTGGAATCATGTCTGTGAGTTTCCACTTACTCTGCTGCCATTTTTAATCTCTCCTACTTTAAACTTCTTGTTGCAGATACCAGTACTATTCCCCAAATAGTTGACTATAAACTCCACCTGAGAGAGGGTTAGTGTGTCATCATATAATACATGGTGTATCATTGCCACACAGCTGATAATTTCTAGCCAATATAATCCTTTTTCATAGTTTGGATGACAAACTTTTGATTCTATTTTTGTCTTATCAAAATATAGAGTTCTTGCCACCTGGGATTAATATTCATAAACTCTCATTTAATGCATTAACTAAAAATATGTTTCATTAATGCTGACTTTTCCTGTTGGGGTGAGATGCTCTTCAGCTTCACAGAAATTTTAGATCACTCTTTAAATACTTTGAGCAATTTTAGGTTGGATCATGCTCATTAGTTTAGTCTTGTCATTGTCATATGTACAAATGACATACTCTGATAAATTTATTATTTGAGTGGAATTAACCTTCAGCAATGGCCACATCCTTTTTTTTTATTAGTGATAAAAATCCTTATCTTATTGTTTAAAGTATTACATATGTCTTCTTTTCCCCCCATCAACCCTTCCCAGCCGCTCTCACCCCTAGGACACACCCCCACTGGTCCAGTGTCTGTGTCCATTGGTTATTCTTATATGCCTGCATACAAGTCCTTTGGTTGATCTCTTACCCCCCACCCCCCTGCTCCCACCCTCCCCTACTTTCCCTCTGGGGTTTGACGGTTTGTTCGATGCTTCTCGGTCTCTGGATATATTTTTGTTTATTAGTTTATGTTGTTCTTTATATTCCACAAATGACTGAGATCATGTGACACTTATCTTTCTCTGACTGGCTTATTTTTGCTTAGCATAATGCTCTCCATGTCCATGCTGTTTCAAATGGTAAGAGTTCTTTGTTTTTTACATCTTTTAAGTTAATTGAATTATCAGAGATATTTAATCCCTCCAACAACCACTGCTCAAATAAACACAACTGCTAATTTAAATTTAAATTAAAAAGGAGAAAACAATCTCGATTTTTCTAACCAGTGTGTTGTTCAGGTGCAACCTAGCATAGTGACTTTTTATTTGTTTATTGGAAGGTTAACCAATATATAATCAAACACTGACTAGAATATTTTTCAGAATCAGTAGGGTTAAAATAAAATTTAAAAAGGTAAAATTGAGCTTTAATTTTAATTAGAATATGACTGGAAATATTTTATTCTCTCTCCTTTTAGTCCCTCAAAATTATTCCATTATTGATGAAATATTTGGTAGATTGATTCTGATGTCAATTTTCCTGCATGTGTAAATAACTATTTGTGTACCTGTTTTTGACACTTGTCATCTGACTGTTAAACAGGGTTAAACTAAGGGTTTTCAGGACTCCATTGGGGTACTGAAATAATATTTGCTAGGAAACTTTTGATCTACATTTGTACTCTTGCCTCTCTTTCAGTTTGTGAGGATGGTATAGAGAACTTAGGAAATTCCATTCTCAATAGTCTTGGAGGTCTACAGGTTTTGCCTTGATTAAGGGCAAAAGTCAACATTGGTTTCTCAGATATGGCCATGAATGAATTATTGCTACTGCACTGAAAAATATAACAGTTATTTGACATCCTTATAGTATCCAATTATATTTTATAGGCATGTATTAAAAACCTACTACCCACAAATTGTTTTGCTAGGAGCTTGAGAAGACACAATTTAATCAAATATTATCCTCATATTCAGTTACTGAAATAACTATAATATAATACTATACCCAGAGTACTATATATGTATTTTATTAAACATGGCAGTGTGTTGTAACAAAAAAACAATATATGCACCTTGTTTTCAGACAACCTGAATGAGTTTCCTCCCTCTATCATTTATTAGTGGTTAAACCATAGGACAAGTTACTTACACTGTATTTTTTTTTTGGTCAAGAATAGTGCAGAAACCATTATGGGCAGTGATTCTACTTCTGGGAATTTGTGCAAAGAAACTTAAAACACTAATTCAAAAGTATATATGCACTATTATGTTAATTGCCACGTTACTTATAATAGCCAAGATTTGGAAGCAGCTCAAGTGTCCAACAGCAAATGTGTGGATAGAAAAGCTGTTGTACGTTAACACAATGAAATACTACTCAGTCATTAAGAAAAAGGAAATATTACCTTTAGCTACAGCATGGATGGACCTAGAGAGCAT